CGCGGTGGCTACGGATTACGCGACCCGTTATGCAGTTACGCGAGCCATGCCAACAAGCTGTGCATACGAGCCATGCCAACAAGTGGGGCATACCCAAGTAAGGTGCCTCAGACTGAGAGTGAAGAAGTGGACGTTGGCGGTGAGCTGCGTTGTGGCTGTGGACTGACAACTGTTATTTTCCACGTAACAATATAATAGAGATGTCACAAAGAGAGAGAGAGAAAAGCCAAAAAATAGCGAAAAATGAAAAGCAAAATCAAAGAGAATACGACACTAAAATCTGTCTCTATAGCCAGTTGTCTTTTAAGCCTTCTACCTTTTCAAGCCTTCCGTCTTGTCTTTCAAGCTTTCAAAACCTTCCGGGCCAAGGATGGACTCAGCCAATGACCCAGAATCCTTTGTACCTACAAAAGCTGATCATCTATTCTATCTAGAGCTTCGGTAAGTTCTTGTCTTGGAACATTGAAATGAATACACATACACAGAAGACGGGCAACTGTTTCTTTGCAGCTGCAGTAAATGCATGTAGAGGAGCTGGCCATTCCAATAAGAAAAGAATATGCGTTCGTGAAGGCCATGCTAAGCCACAGGCAGCCCAGAAGAGTCTCCTTAGCTCGACATATTCCTTAGGGATGACGATGCTTGAGATCCAGATCTAAGTTATGCAGGCAAGCATTTGTGAATTCCGTCGAGTTCCACTGTATCAGTGTAAGGTCATGTGGAAGCGAACGAAGTCTTGTAGCTGCGTCGGTTCTCGAGAATGAGATGGCTGTGCATTGTGTACCATCATGTGCAGACTAAGCAGCCTCATCTGCGCGGTCGTTGCCAATATACCGCGATGACTTAGTATCCACTGATACGCTATGCTGTGTTGTTTCTCGATTGCTTGGTGGTGAAAAATCCTTATATAAGCTACTAAGTGTTCATTAGGTTCATGGAAAAACGGTGACACGAGACATTGAAAAGCTACCGTATTTACACGATTGTAAGACGACTCGAATGTAAGACGACCCCCCCCCCAAAATCGCATCTCAAAAAAAAAAAAAAAAAAAAAAAAAAAAAAAAACTCACGTAGGCCGCAAGCTTCGCCTCTAGTTCCGGAAAGCGGCCAGGCTTCGGCCCGCGAAAGCCACGGCGCTTGGAGTCGCACGAGAAAATTTCCTCGCGCTGAAGCCGCCACTTCCGCACCACACATTCACCGATACCGAACTTTCGTCCTCATGTCACGGCACTCATGTCAGACAGAAGTGACTCGAGAGAGCCGGTCGTGGACACAAGCGACAGGAGCACGCGGCGACGCGCCCGCTTAGAAAATTGTATCACAAAGAGGAGCTCTTCCGTCAACTATCAATACCCCCCTACGGCGGCTCTTCCATCGATTACCGGTGCTCCCTCAAGAGCCGTGCGCTCGTCATAAAGGCACTCGTAATGCGCGCAGTAGATGCTAAAAAAAAGAAAAGCTTTTGTATAAGCACGCGGAAAACTATGCGCTTTGGGTTGAGCGGGAAACTATTCGAGATGACAATACATGGGTTTCGATTCTAAGACGACCCCCCAACATTGGATTGTCAAATTTGAAAAAAAGGGTCGTCTTACAATCGTGTAAATACGGTACCATCGAATTCAAGAACATGAACCAAGTTTTCGAAGGTTATTCAACTATAAACTCCAGAGCTGCACGTATGGCGGTGAGTTTTGCAGCTGTCGATAATGTCAAATGCGATGTCATAAATTAATTTGTGATGTACTTTGCAGCAATAACCAATGCTCCTGCTGAGCTTACTAAAGAAACAAAGCCATCCGTGTAAATGTGAAGGAGTTTGTTGTTGTTTATCATGCAGGAACAGTAATGTGGCCTGTTTCAGGGCTAGATGCGACGACTGTTTCCTATTTTGGATGCCAAGAATGGTAAGAAGGTCTTTGAGTGGGTGTTGGCACCACAGTATTAATGGTGACTGTGCTGCATACGTGAAATTCAATAGAAGCACGGTGCACTGCTGAGCTACAGTTGCACTGAACGCTGAGTGGGACATAGAAGTTCGAAGTGAGGCGAGATGATGCAATGGAACACGAGCGAAATGTCTCAAGTCCTGAAAGCGTCAATGCGGATGTATGTGTTGACTGGATAATCACGAGCGATGACGACTGTCGCTACTGTAGATGTGTATCGCGGAAAGCCAAGGCATATTCGCAGTGCTTGGGCTTGAATCGACTGGAGGACGAGAATGTTTTTCTTCAGATCCTGCAACGCAGGAATAAGCTATAGTGGAAAAAACCAAGGAACAGAACAGTGCTGAGTTGAAGCATCGCTCGTACCGATGTACCCACATTTTTCCAGCAAGAAATCTCAGTATGCGGGTGATCATGATGAGTGTCGTTTTCACTTAGGCGATGTGAGAGCTCCAAGGAGGTCGCAATCAACTATGACTCCGAGAAATCGGTCAGTCTTCATGTAGTTGATTACGTGTCCCTGCTCTTGCATTTATACAGTTTTTCGATAAACTTAAGCTTGATGCACATTGCTCAAATAAGAAATCAAAACAAACCATTTCTGAATCTTCATTAATAAGCAACTTGTTTTTGAACGCGAGGTGAATGAAGAAGCGCGCCCGAACTCATGTGCTGGCATTGGGCATGCTGCACGGAGCGGTGGAGGAGGATCAGGGTCGCAGCACCCCTCTCAAAGCAGTGACGAGAGGCATGTATGACACTCAATGCGAAGGTTGCAAGAAGATAGCCCGCAGGTGCGGTCTAGCCCGGCCGTGCCCCAGCCAACGCAATGAGCCAGCGAAACAGCCGTGGCCGCACGTCTATCATTTTTAGAAGCCAACATGACAGCACCCATGCAGACGTAACCACTCGCTCTGATCCAAACTTGTGCTGCTACTTGCCCGCTGTCGTCACAGCAACAAATAAGTGATGAAATCAGCTACCGCTTCGTGTCATCTCCTCTTGGGGACACAGCATTAGGTATGTTCTGTATTTATTAGAGAAACTTTGCTGTGTTTATTTAGCCATGCTTACTAAGCCTAGTATCTGCGAACTTGTAAATGAATCTTGAAAACACTTGCAAAATATTAACGAATACATTGCTCTCGAAGGTTCAGAATGTAAACGTAAAGAAATAATGCATGTGCTGTGAATTACAAGTCACACAGCTCTGGATGACGACATGTTAATATCGAGGCGGAAGGAAAACTGCACCCATAAATGCCACTATGTTGACTTTTCCTGCACGTTCGTCTGCTTCCCATTTACTTACCAGTGTGTTCGTCTGCTTCGCTTAGCGTCCCTAGAGTGTCTGCTTCGCGCCGCATATGCTATGGGGATGCCAAGCAGGCGACAAAACGCATATGTGGTGCAGTGCAGCAGAAGGCCACAGCAGAAAGATGGCCAGGGTAGGGAGACGGTCGCGGTGTTGTGGCGTCAATATAGTTCTGAATGACCAAACCAGCTGCAGAAAATCATTTATAGGAAAGGCAACGAAAGTTGTAGTGATGTCACACCATATTTGTAATGAGATGAATGACCTTCAGACCTCTGCCATGTACATATCAGCAAAGCATCACGGCTGCTGCAGCTAGCAGTGCGTCTGTTTCGCAGGTGCTTGTCGGGGCATTTGTTTTCGAAGTGCTTGTCGGTGCATTTATTTTGCAAGTACTTGTGTGGCACGTGTGTGCAAGAACAGATAATACTCAGCACGATGTGCGTCACAGCTTTGTGTGGTTACGTGACCAAACCACCTACACTGCTTCTATATCACTGCCCGACTCGGCTCTCAGAAACTGAAACATGTCCACATAAATGAGGTGATATTCAATTATCTAGCCAGAATACACGAGTCATGCGTGTGGCAGGCTTCTTGAGCTATAGGAAAGGCTTTTAGCAAAAACATGCAAGCCATAATTATGGTGGCACCACCCCTTCAATATCTGGTAGCAATAAATCCATGGGCATTTGTATTTTGAGCCCATACCATGGAGTGCTTGTTAGGTTTATGACATATTTTTATCAAAATGAACCAATCAAGCATGCCTTTTCTTATAATTTTTCCCCAATGTAAATTCACTTTATTCGGTGTTTTCAAGTAACACATTTGAATGCATTTGGCATGTTAGCATATGTCCTATTTTTTGGGGTCACTTCTGATAACCCTAACTATTTATACATAAAACAAACTTTCCAGGCCTCTTAGAGTTTGTTATAATGGGAGTCTACTGTACTGTTATATATGGGTTGTACAGATGGCGACAACAGGAGTGCCAAAGTGGCATCAACGTATAGCCCATGCATGGACAGTGCGAAATATTATGTGCCATGCACCAGTAGCATGCTAATCCCCTTCTCTACTCTGAAGGCAGCAGTAAAATGTGTCTTTTCTCAGCCGCCACTGCCAAAAAACACATTGCACTATTTCGGAAACCTCTTCTCAACATGCAACATGCGGTTCAAAAAGCGTGGTCACAAAAATCTCATGCAGGTCAACTATATCACCACGGGTGCCTTCATTATTATTTTCCATTAATTGCCTATGTTTCCTTTGGGCTGGCAGTAAAAATTCTTATATGAGGAAAAAAAAGACATGGTGCTCAATGAACGCCCGGTAGTGAAAACTCAAATACTTCACTATATTGAGAATGTCATTGTATTGATATTCTCTGTATCAAAGTTCAAATATATTCATTTTGAATACAGAAGCAACAAAGTCGAGAAGCTGAATGAAATTATTTAATTAAGTAACATTCAATTTGAATTCAAGATTCAAATATTTGCAGACACCTACTTTTATGTTTGAATATCTCTTTACATTTTATGGCTCTCACATATTTGCAATCTCACGTTTTTTTTTTAACTGTCCCAGTCAAGAACTATAAGACAAGATTCTATTTTGCATGATAAAAACAAGACCCTTTAATCATTTTTAGTTCTTGTTTCTTCTCATGATTCACTATGCCAAAGCACTTCACTCGCATTCGGAGCTACACTGCATAGCCACTTACCTCGATTCCCACCATCAACATGTTGTTGGCCCCCCCCAACGCCATGGAAAGTCCCCGCAGGGCTGCCAGCCGCCCCAGTGTTGGTTGGTTCTGCAACAAATCGACAGGGTTACACATAGTACCTACAATATTCAAAAGTTCTACACCTAAACAGAGGATGTGAAACGGAATGAAAAATATTTGCCATTAAATTTCGCATTTGTACCACATCACTGGCAGGCCTTAGTAGTGTTGCAAGATTTCAAAAGTGTACAATGAGGATGAAGCAGGGCTATTCTTTGAGGTGTTCCTATTCAGAAAGAAAAATATGTCCAGGGGTAGCCTAGAAACAGGAGGCCAAGTTTGACCATGTTTTTTTGCACAAACATAGAGGAGAGTGACAAGTGTCTAACATTTGACATTGGAAAATAAAAAAATCCCGGTGCTTTGCCGTGCTGGCAGGATACCAGTGCACTACATCACAACTGCAAGGCATAAATGAGAATACATTTTTTTTAAAGAAATGGCTGTACTGCTTTACTATTGCGCTAGCAATTATATGAACACTATCGACGGGATTTACCCGTCACCGCCATGTTTCGCAACAAGTCCACATTGATAACATGCCCCCGCGCATCGTAACTTTCATGAGCGGGTAAAAGCACGCAAGCCGTGCTGAAGCAGAAATAAAATGAGTCGGCCCATTACTATCGCCTGGAAAGTGCATAAGATAACATCTCTTGCGTGTTAGAACTGTCGTCAATTGCTACAACGGAAAAAAAGCCACCTGTCTTGAACGAGCATGTAACGCGGAAAGGAGGGGGGAAAGGGTTCGCTTGAGTAGCAATAATGAACTTGGATGTTAAGAGAGGTAATGATCGCTGGCACGTTTGCTATCTCGGCGAAGTTCCAGTGCGGTTTCAACGTGAAGGGACTGTGTGAAAAGAGTACTTCTCCCTGGAGCGGCCGTATTTGCTAACACCAGCGTTTTGTAGCAGTTCCACGATATAGGATCCAAGATTTGGCTACCAGCCTTACTTCTTATAACATTACATATTTTTGCTATAGCATTCACTGAATTGCATTCAATGCGGGGTCATGTTGCCAGAACTAATCGGCTAATCATGAAGGCTGCCAGCCTGATGAACTCGCGGTGCGGAGCAAGACGTAAGCGCATGACGAGCCAACGTCCGAAGATCCGTTGTCCCCGTGGTCTTGGTGAGTTTCCATCAGTGCCTAATCTGACATGCCCTTGGTGCCGACGACACAGGTGTCCGAAATCAAGAAAGAAGTCACAGTTTTGCCGCAAGGGCGAAGTAATGAATGCGACAGCAACAACTTGGAATGTAACACTGAAAATGGCAAGCAGATCAAACGTGCATTGCGCTGCTCACGCACAAATGGCACACGAAAACAACATACACAAGACGAGGGGGAACTAACAACGTTCACTGCTCGACACGTACTTAACACCGTTTTAACAAAACGAGGCACGAAAAGTAATCACAGATACAGATATGAGTGCGAACTAACAAGTACCCCCAGTTGTTTCCGTTTGCTTGAAAAGCGCACTTTTTTTCGCAAATGGCGCCTGTCCAGCGAGCGAAGTTTTCTTTAGCGCCCTGCAACGAAATGCAATCGTTTCGGTCAAAGTCGAAGGCGCGCGATTCTCCCCACCGAGGGAGATAACCGCGTGTACAAACATCTTACAGTCTCGGCTGGTTCTTCAGAAAAAAGCAAAGCTGAACGTCATCGGGGGCCACACTATGCGCGCGCAGTAAAACTAGGCACGCGCTCATGTCGTAGAAAATGAAGAGCGATTGACACGGACACAGACACCACGGAAAACTATTCCCTAAAGTGCCCTATATATGCAGCGTGGCCCCACCTACGTGACGCTAACTAAAAGCGTGACACTGCCAACACGCAAAAGTAGTTTTCTTTTTTTTTTTTGAGGGGGGGGGGGGGGGGGCGCACCGCGCGAATTCGCCTACGGCGGTGAAAAGGGCGACGCCGCCGGCTCGTGGGGTGCAGGCCCGCCTCCCCGCCTCGCGCTCACCCGTGCCCAATAACGAGCGCTCGCTCTCGCCTGATGCGTCATGCGCGCCACCGCCGCTTCGCGCTTCTTCAGCGGCGGGGCAGCTGTACAAGATGCATGCTCGTACCGAAACGCTGAGTGAAATTCCTAAATTGTCCGTGGAGAAAATTCGTTATGTCAAGGTTGTCTCCAACTGTTACTTTGATACATAGAGGTCCCAAATACATGTTCCTTTATGGAGCAATGACGGGAATAGAAAAACTTCGTTATATCAAAGGATTTGTTATATGGAGGTTCATTGTAAGCAGATTTAACTGTAATTGTATAATTTTTTTGTTCGATTTTCTATATATGTTTGCAAGAATGATATGATTGTCAAACTGCTGTCCATGTGATGTACTTCATAGAAGCACCATTCATGCATTTCCATTCTTTTTTATGTGTGACTTTCTATATATGTTTGCGACAATGATTTAGTCATGGTTGTCAAACTGCTATTGATGTGATCTACTTCATGGAAGCACCATTCATGTATTTCCATAACCTTGCCGTAACAGGCTCTTTTTACCGTTTGCCAAACTGCAGTAGATAGTGTATAATAGTGATGGTACAGATGTTAGGGGCCCCTTGTATGCTGTGTCTAATTACGAAGAAAGCATTTTTGTATTGTGTTTTCCCTGAGGAAGGCCAGTCTTCGGCTGAAATGTAAGAAAATATAAAGTTTTCGTTCAACATGTCTTTACTTTCGCAATATTGCTTCCACTGAATCCAAGGACACTTCGTACTTAAAAAAATATATATATATAAATATGAAAGTAGATGCGCTTTCACATAACAACTGTTTATTGTGCCGACGTTTCGACGGAAACCCCGTCTTTTGAAAAAGACGGGGTTCCCGTCGAAACGTCGGCACAATAAACAGTTGTTATGTGAAAGCACATCTACTTTCATATTTATAACCTTGCGGCAACCGAAGTTATTCTTCTGCATATATATATATATATTGTAGTGAAAAAGAGGGGCCTCAGCAGCATTTTTCGGCGCTTCAGGGGCATCGCCAACAGCATAAGCTCGCGCTTGCTGCGCTTGGCCGGACGCTGCTGACTGCTTCGCCTTCTGCGTTCTGCTCTGCAAATAAACCCCGTTACAAGTGGTGGAGGTGCTGGGTTTCGATCACCCTGGAGCTTCGAAATCGCATTTTACCATCCATTATGCCTACCGACGCAAGCGCCGCTCCAACTCCTCCACAGGCACCGCCTACTGTTCTCTGCGTCGGTTCTCTGCGTCTGCGAGATCCCCCTGTTTTTTCAGGCACAGAAGACAAGAACGTTGATGACTGGATTTCAATGTACGAGCGAGTGAGTACTCACAACAAATGGGATGACGCTGCCAAGTCGGCCTACGTCTCCTTCTACCTGTCGGACGTGGCCAAGCTGTGGTTTATAAACCACGAAGCGAAACTCCCTACATGGTCGGTCTTCAAAACGAGCCTCACACAAGTTTTCGGACGGCCTGAGGTACGCAAACGCCGTGCCGAACAACGCTTGCATACTCGGTCCCAGTAGCTTGGTGAGAATTTCACAAGCTATATTGAGGACGTTCTGGACCTTTGCAAGCGAGTCAAAGAGTCGATGTACGAAGAGCTTAAGATCAAGCACATCATGAAGGGCATTGAGGACGACGCTTTCCAAGTGTTGCTTTCTAAGAGTCTTCGCACTGTCCTAGAACTGACCGAGTTATGCCAGAGTTTTGACGAGTTGCGCAGGCAACGCCTTTACACCCGATGTCCCTCAGTGCTCGACGATTCTTTGTGCAGCCTGTCCACCCTTGGCATAGGAGAAGACCATGCCCCTCTTCTCTCCAAGATCCAAGAGTTCATCCGCGCTGTCGCTTGTCAGCTCTCTTTGATGTCCTGCATACCCGATCAACCACGCAGATTGACGTCTACACTCCGCGACTTCATTCAAGACCAGGTCGCACAAGTTCTTCCTCCCGCCCGTGAACCGCCGCCAGTCGCCGCACCTCTCACGTACGCCGAGGTCGAGCGACAGCCTGCGTTCCAGCCAGCGCCTATGTATTTGCCGCCGCCCTTTTTGCCGCCGGGTATTCACCGCCGCCTATGCCAATACCACCTCGGCCGCAGTTTTCTGCCCCCCAGCCGCAAGTCGGAGTCTACTCCTACCAATGACGGACCCACGACAACCGTCCGATATGTTTTGCTTGTGGCTGTGTTGGCTACGTGGCACGCTATTGTCGTCGCCGCCAGGCTGCTCAGAACATTCGACGAATGCCCTCTTTCGACCCTCAGTTTTCTTCTACGCCTTCAAGCCCTCCTTCCTCTTCCTTTCCTTCTGATTGTCCACACGGTCCCACCCGCCGCTCCCCATCTCCACGTCGACGTTCGCTTTCCCCTATGCATCGCCGTTCCAAACCCACAGAACAGGAAAACTAACGGCCGCAGTTCCCGAGGCACGAACTGCGTCCCCGTCGCCATGCACAAGTCCTCGCCCCTGTCCAGCTAACGTCATTGAAGCGTCAGTCGATGGTATCGTCGTCATGGCGCTTGTCGACACCGGAGCCGCTCTATACGTCCTTTCCATCAACCTGTGCCGCAAACTCCACAAAGTTCTCTTAGAACGGCTAACACAAAAAGTGTAACACCTCTCGCAGCCTGTACCACACAAGTCGTCATCGAAGGAATTGTGTATATCGTCGAATTCGTAGTGCTGCCCTCGTGTTCCAATGACATGATACTCGGCTGGGACTTCCTTGCGAATAATAATGCCGTCATTGACTGCTGTCGCGCTGAACTTGAGCTATCTGCACTTCCTGATGTTGACGCTGTCGAAGCCTTCCTGCCGTATTATAAACTGTCTGTTTCCGACAACACCACCGTACCACCGCGCTCTTCTCTGCTGGTGACTGTGTCGTGTGATGCTATTTCTGACGGTGATGTTCTATTTACGCCCTCTGCCCTGTTCATTCAACGCAAATGTTCTCCACTGCCCGTTGCTCTCCTTACTCTCCACCATGCCGTCACCAAGACGCTCGTGTACAATACGCTAGAAGGGCC